AGGCATATCTCGTATCTCTTGCAGAAATCGATAATGATCGGGTCCACCGGTCCCAATGTAAAGGGATAGGTGTAAACACTCAGATATCCCTCGACATGGTGGTGATGGCCTCCTCGGGGTCGGGAACTACGATGTCCTTATCGTCCCAGTTGCAGTCTTTTAAGACCATGGGAAGGTCATCTTCGGTGATTGAGCAAATGTATCTCGAGGCGTCCTCACGCCGACCCTATACCGAAGAAGGCTTCTCAACCTTGAAATTATCATTGACCGAGCCTCCCCAGGTGATGAACATTTTCAAGGGGGTTCAGGTACTGGTTCATCAACGGCCACGCCGGGAGCAGTCTCCTCGACCTTAGTGGCCGGCCACGAAGTAGAAGGAGCTTCTTTATGGGAAATAACTTTGGAAGTCTTTGCCATTCCTTTAGAAAGTAAAATGGAGGGAAATCTGGAAAAGATGAAGAAAGAAAGAAAGTTGAAGGATTAGACATGTTGGCTTAAGTAGAAGATAAGTAAATATTTTTTTTGCAAAGAACCTTGAGTGACGAAGGTAAAAGTGCTAGAGAGTATTGGGTACGAGGATAGAAGGTTTGATATAAAGTGAAAAACGAACAAAGGAGAGGGTATTTATAGAGTTTCCGTGACAGTTCGCGTCCAGGAATAGTTAACCAACGGCTGACATGCATTTAAGGCCATTATGACGTGATTGACGAGACACTTTGGTTTTTTTGTCATTTCTGACACGACGTATCGAAGAAAGAATCGGGGAGCTCATGTTGTTTCTCGTCAACTTACTCTCTGAGAAGCGAGGGGACTATCTGTATATGGGTGGAACTGGGCTCATGACACACCCCGGTCTCCGATAAGGTAAGCCAAGCTCGAGACATAATGACATGAAACCGAAATCGAAGCAAGGTCCTCGTCGAGGCAGAGTCCGAGGGCATGACGCCCACCTTCGGAATATCGGGGTCATGGTCCGGGATCAACCTCGAAGAACACTATCGGGCAATCAAGCACGACCAACAGAAGGCCGTAATATCCGCGACCGGCCGGATATCACGACGTGAATCTCGGTACGTATTGATGGAGTACCGACAATCAGTTAAATAGAAGATTTTTCATGACAATTGTGGGATTGTACCTAGAGTAGGATTCCCCTACTATATAAATGGGGAGTCTAATAATTCATGAAACAGATTGTAACACGCATTCCAAAGCAATATATTATTATTTTCTCTGTTATTAGCTCTTTTTCTTGTTCATCAATGCTGGCCATTACAAGCCGGGATCGAGGGTGAATACTTCACTAAGGCTGGAATTATTCTCGTCGTGTAGTTTGAATTTATTTCATCTTTGTTTGCTCAATCTAACTCAATCTATCGCTTTGTATCAAATTAATCCGTGTATTATTAAACCACTTATAAATTTAATTATTATCCGATTTTGAGCGTGAACACATATTAAGCTGAAAGCAAGGGGAACCAAACTCTTTACCTACCTCCTAGTATCAAAATTGAATAAACAAATCAAGTGACACTTCTTTGTTTAGGAAATGCTGATAGAAATCACGAAGCCTTTTGTTTTCCATATTTAAATTATGATCTGTTTGTTAATTGCATCAAGTTTGTAGACATTAGAAGTATAAAAATTTTAGAGTTGAGAATTAATAATGCAAATCGTGCATATTTTCATCAATTATGCTAAGTTTCTTATGTATATATATTTTTCCGGAAGTTTCTAAATTTTGTGGTTAATTTGCATGCTCTCCGTTTTACAGAACAAATTTTCTTGCTTCTGGTAAAATGGTTTTGTGTCGTTAATGTTGCTGTTCTGCATGTGTATATTTGATCATTTTTCTATCAATTGTATAATGATAATGTTAGGTTTTAATAATATCTAGTCTATTGTCAGAATAATAAAAACAGTGAAATAGTTTAATTATTCCTTCAGTTGCATTAATAAAAAGTTAATGCATGTATAAGTAGCTGTACTTCGTATAATCTACACATTGCTCTTCTTTCTGAAATTTTAATTGCCTACTAGAGCGATTCTATTCTTTTATCTTTAATCTTAATCCTACCTAAAGGAATTCCTACTATATGGAAATAAGCAGTATTACAAAATTAGATAGCAATCGGACAAAAGGAAAAAATAAATTCACTCGCGAGTAACTTAATTAGGTGACATACTTTTTTTTTTTTTTTTTTTTTTTTTTTTTTTTTTTGCTTTTTGTTTTAAAACATTGCATCTTTTTGTTTTTATAAAAGAGGGAACGATTCATCTGTGCTCGCCCTTGATTTTGGAAAAAAGAATTAAATAAATTTTAAGCCACACACCAAACAAGCTGAGAAATTAAGTGTTTTTCCAACAAGAAAATATTTTTGGCAACGTTGACAGTATCATGGCCAATTTATATATGATTCATTTTTATATTACGCATAAAACATGGGGATATGATTAAAATGTTTAATAACAAGTAAGAATTCATGATTAAAAGTTTTATTCTATTTCATAGTAACAATATAAAATCAAGTTATTGCCATTAATTAAAATTAACCAAAAATATTATAATTGTCGCTATACGTTCTTGCAAATTCTATACGTTGTTGTAGTGAAGGTTCCCTAAGCTAAAGAAATGGGTTCCTTCTTCATTAGAGAAAAAGGACAAGTATTAGATTTGTGGTTTGAGTAGCAACTAGCTAGGAAACATAAATGAGTTTCACATATAGCCGAACAATATGGCTTATTTGCTAATTAAGTCAGCCACACAAGTAATAGGCTTGTGTGAATTCCTCATCCTCAAGCTACAACTATATACTGAACCAACTCAGAAGCGGATTNATATATATATATTAAAAAATTCACTAAAACTTTTTAACTATTTGACCGTGAACTCAATTATTATTCTATATTAACTCGATATCGCTAAGAACCCATACAACTGACAAATTACCGGTTATGCTTTAGACTAAGAAACGGCTTAGTGACTGAAAGGTTGCTTAAGTTGTCACATTGCCTCACACGCAATGAGAAATGGGATGATTTACACAACTATAGGCACTTTTATTGTCTTGTATTTAAAAGTTGGCCACTTTTTCGAAATTAGATTATTTGTCTGAAGTTACAAAAACCACATGAAGTAAAAAAAAATTCATCACTGTATCCGGAAGAAATTCAAAAATAGCCAGATTTCCAAGTGGTCATTCAAAAATAATCACCATTTCAAAAGTAATCAAAATTTAGTCACTTTTCATGTAAAGATAAATCTGAACGAAAACATTATTCAAAATCCGGAAAATACTCCAGCATAAGTATACTGGAGTTCAAACATATTATAATGGAGTTCCAGCATAAGTATACTGGAACTCCAACATAATATACTGGAGTTCCAGTATAATATACCGGTTCAGTATAATATGTTGGAAGTTCATACACAGGTGCTCCAATCTCCAGTATATTATGCTGGAACTTTTCGCGTGTTGGAGTTCCAGCATAATATGCTGGAAGTTCATACACAGGTGCACCGATCTCCGGTATATTATGCTGGACCAGTCCTTGTTGCAGCAAAATACTGGCTATTTTTCAATAACTTTGAAAACGCTAGCTATTTTTGAATGACCAATCCGAAAACTGGTTAGCCGTGCTATTTTAACCTATATCCAAACAAGGAGTCGAATTTTGAAGAAGTGGCCTACTTCTAAACACAAGAGTTACAAAAGTGGCCACTTGATGTAAATAACACTACCATCCACAAGCTATTGTTTTCGTAAAAATTGCACGGGGCGCCCTATTTGGATGCCCCTTTTTAACCTATAGCCGCTTTGTCTTTCTGTTTGCACCCGTACCCGTTTTTTTGTTAAAAGCCATTTGAAAAGACTATTTTGCCATTCTTTATTAAAAGACTACTTTCTCTCCAAGTATACGCTAGTCCTCTATTGTCTTTGTCTCTCACTCCCGTTATTCGCGTTTGTTGATTTGTTCTTCTCTGAAATCAAACGGTTTTCGTTGTTGTTTTGATTTTTCAACTGCTAGTCGTCGTTGTTCCTACATTACGATTTAATCACAGGTACATTGCAATAGCTTTTTGGGTTTTATTTTACGATTTAATTTCTGGTTTTGGTTTTGATAGTCATGTATTTATGATAAAATATTTTCTTAGGGTTTAGTTTGATAAGTGCATTAGTTTACTTTTACGATTGTGTTTTTAGGTTTTTTGAACGAGTGTTTATGTTGTTGATAAAAATTCTATATTTAGGTTTTTTGAACGAGTATTTAAAAATTTTGAGAGTTAAATATATGATACTATTTAGGAGCTATAGTATTATTTATTTTGTAATAGTTCAATGATACCTTAGATAAACAGAATTTGTGTTTTGTTTTTTGTCAAAACTACAACATGTTTTTTTTTGCTGAATGTTTTGTGTTTGTAACTGGTGAAGTTCAGCTTTAGGAGCTGAAGTTTTTGTGTTTGTAACTGGTGAAGTCCAGCTTAAGGAGCTAAGGTTTTTGTGTTTGTTACTGGTGAACTTCAGCTCTAGAGCTGAAGTTTTTGTTTTATAACTGTCGAACTTCAGCTCTAGAGCGGAAGTTTTTGTTTTATAACTGTCAAACTTCAGCTCTAGGGCTGAAGTTTTTGTCTTTATAACTGTCGAACTTCAGCCTTCTTAGGTATTGAAGTTTTAACTGATCTTTTTGATAATGTCCTGATGTTATTTTTTGTAACTTTTACTTTTTTTGAACAGATGGCTCCTAAAGCACTTAAAGATCCTAATGCAGCTAAAGTAGGCAAAGCACCTAAAGCACCTAGACAACCTATAATACCCCCAGGTCCTTATGTCCCTGCTCCTCCACCTACAAGACCAGGGCAAAGATATTTTGAGTTTGGAGATTGGTTTAACTGTAAGGGTTACTAGAAGGGGAACCATAATTTGAAGAAATTAATTTCAACTTTTTTGACTCCTACAAAACGGGATAAGCTTAATAATAGTACATTTCGATACATTATGGCTATGGAGAATTTCCAATGCAGCATGAAGTTGGTTCATTGTCTGTGTCTTTCTCGAATATTCACCAATGATCGAGACTCCATTAGTTTCAAGATTTTTGGTCATGATGTTTCCTTCACCCTTGAAGACTTTCACATTATGTGTGGTTTGCGGATCACAACACATAATGTTGAAAAACCAATTAATCGAGAGAGAAATATTCTGAAGCGGTATTTTGGTAAGTCCAAGGGTGTGACTTTGAAGGATATTCGAAGTTTTATGACTCGCAATGAAATTCCAAAGAATGTTGTGAATCACGTACACGTATGTGAGAGTAATGATGATGTTGTTAAGCTTATGGAAATTCTTGTTGTAGAGTCTATTTTGTTTGGGAAAAATACCGAGTCATGTGTGATGGAGGAGTATGCATATATTGTTGAAGATGATAAGGTTTGTGCTGAATATCCTTGGGGTAATGTGGATTATGAGAAGCTCATTTATTCACTAAAACATGCATTGGACAAGAAGAACAAATTACATACAACTGAGTATAAACTTGGTGGATTTCCATATCCGTTATGTGCTTGGTTCTATGAGCGCTTCCCAGATGTTCGAGAGAGGTATATAAGAGAGGATGAGTACCTTGATACCCCTCAGGTTCCCAGGATGTTACGTTATGTATATGCGGGAGAGCGTAAATTTCCTAAACTTAATCATATGTTCAGTACTCATGAAGTAAGTTACTTTTTTTTTGTCTTTGTGTTAATATGTTGATGTATTAGTTTTTTTCTCCTCATAATATACTTTTTTGTATTAAACAGAGATATCGCGACTTTAGGGTATTGGATATAATCCCTACAGAAGAGGAATTAAATTCAATGCCTTTAATTCGTTCAAAGGTAGTTAATGCAGTTCCTTTAACTGGTGAATCACCACGTACTCTGAGTCGATCAAAAGAAGCGAATCGAATTCCTGTCATTGGTGAATCACCACGTAATCGGAGTCGATCAAAAGAACTGAATCGAACTCCTTTTATTGGCGAATCATCTCGTACCCAGAGTCGTTCTACCCGTTCTACATCTGACTTTGATGACAATGAATTACTTGAGATAATATGTTCTGTAAGTTTTGATCTGAAGTTTTTTGGTTTTGTTTTTGTAAAAGTACAACATGTTTTTGAGCTGAAGTTTTCTTCTATATCTGAATTTTTGTTGTGTATCTATTATAAAGGTTAACGACGGAGGTTCAAAGGCATGCAAACAAAAAATGATCGTGAACGAAGTTTTCGATAAGTTTAAAAAGGATGAGCGATCTGCTATTGGTGATGTGATTTTTGTAAAAGTGAAGGTAAGCTAATTGATAGAGATGTCTTTTTATTTCTGCTGATACTATTCAGATTAATCATTGTTAGTATTTTTTTTTCTAGGAATATTTCGATGAGAAGTTTGAACAGTTGTTTAAGATTGTCAACAAATCAAATGAAATGGACGATGGCAATTTTGATTTGAGTAACTATCGAGAATATGATAGGGTGATCGATTGTTACGAACCTCCATCAAATATTAATGTTGTTGATGATACATCAGATAAAGTTGCAGGTGTAAATGCTACACGTGAAGAAGCGGCTTTTGAAGGCAATCAACATGTTCAGAAACAAGTTGAAGAGGAACATTCTAGTGCTGATATATTTAGCAGCGATGAAAATGATGAAGAACAGTTAGCAACTGAGAATGTTGGAAGCAAGCAATGTGCAGATAATCAAGTTGAAGAACATACTGCTCATGATCCATCGTGTAAAGTCGCAGATGATAATGCTACACGTAAGGAAGCGGCTGGTGAATGCGATGAACATGTTCAACAACAAGGTGCAGATAATCAAGTCGTTGGTACTGAAAAACATGCATCGAGTTGTTCTTTGGAAAGCGATATTGGACAGTGCAATTTTTTTGATGGAGCACTAGCTATTTGCAAGGAAATTTTAGGTGGTCATACGCAGGAAATTGTTACTACAGGTATAAAGTANCTATTTGCAAGGAAATTTTAGGTGGTGATATGCAGGAAATTGTTACTACAGGTATAAAGTATGAAGTTTATAATAGTTCATAAAAATATATAACAAAAAAACACAAAACATGAAACAAAACATCAGCTGAAGATTTTGTTTTGTACCTGTCGAACTTCAGCTCTAGAGCTGAAGTTTTTGTTTTGTAACTGTCGAACTTCAGCTCTAGAGCTGAAGTTTTTATTTTTGTAATTGTCGAACTTCAGCCTTCTTAGAGATTGAAGTTTTAACTGATCTTTTTGATAATGTCCTGTAGTGAAATTTTCACTACAGGTATAAATTTTTACTATGTTATATATATAGAAAAACTAGTTGATCCATTCCCCCTCTTTATGAATATGCAGTGGAAGTTGAAACTAGTTGTGCTTCAATTGACACAACTCAAAAAGTCTCTGATGATGCTGAATTAAATGAAGGTACAATTGAGAAAAACCTTCCAGAGAATACTCCAATGCTCCTCGACGTTGGTGCACAATTGAATTAAGCTGGAAATGCTGATATCGAGAAAGGCATACAGCCTGGGGAAACCACAGCGGAAGACAAACATCAAGGTATTCTATAGATCAAGAATTTATTACATTTGATCGAAGTATATTTTTTACAGTTTGAAGCTTTACATATTTTATTTTCTTTGTTATGTTTTTGAATGATTTTTCAGAAAGACTCGAGGCAGCTCAAAAAGAATTTGGTGAGCTTATGCAGCTATATCAAAAATGAGAAATACATTTATTCACACCTGTTGGCTCACAGATAGGTGTGAAGTGTGTTGGTATTATTTTATAAAATTAGTCAGTATTATTTATATTTTTTTTATTTTTTTCGCATGAAGATACATGTATATCTGAAGGTAAAGGAAATGGATCTGTTGGAATGCAAACACCATCTGTGTCTCAACACTTAGACCAGGTAGTTATTTTCTGCAATTCGATTACAAGATGTTTTTTTGCCTAATGTGTGTTTTGTATCAGTTTTATTTATGTTTATATTTTCCTTGCTTTTGCAGATATCATCTGATGCATCGCAACTTCTTCCAAATCCTAAGAGAAGGAAGATTTCCAGTTCTCCTATGCGTGACACCAGTGATATCCCCAACTTCAATTTATGTTCATTTTCACTTGGTAGTACACAAGGGACTGATTCAGAAGGTAATGCTGCTACTATTGTTGTTTGTGAAGAGAGACAAGAACATCGTGAACAGCAAGGAGTTGGTCAAGTATCTGCCACTATGGTTGTGGTTTCTCCCCTTGCTGGTGAACAACAGCAGTTAGTTGTGATGGAACAGCAGGAAGAGCAAGCAAAAGGAAAACCAGAAAAAAAAGGGAAAAGGATTCGTATGGAAAGTATTTGGTTGAGATCTCCTTACGTAGTTCATAAACGAAAGGAAAGATGGCAAGATTGGAAAGTAGGAAAGAATATACGAAGGTGTCCCTTCCATTATGTTAATCAAGACAGTGGATTGATGCAAAGATTTACAGAGTGGTTGGAGATGGATGCCAGTGAATATGATTCCAATCCATTCAGATTAGCTGGAATTGATATTCGAAAATCATTCTTTACCGAGCTTATGGATCCTAACTCTGATCCTACGGATGAAGTAAGTTATTAAGTTTGTTTTTTGAATTGGTTTCAAACTGTATTTCCCAAAACTTTAGCTTATTTTTTATAGTAAAGTTTTTGTACTGTAATTTGGAAAACATCAGCTTTATTCATACTAAAATGCTGAAGTTTTTAGCTTATTTGCTAGCACTTCAGCCTAACCGTGCTGAAGTTTTTGACATGCATTCTCTATTTTTTTTAAAAAACTTTTAATCAAACATGCTGAAGTTTTTTAGATTATTTTGTTTGTAGTTTTTTCACATGTTATCATTTGTTATTGTTCATTTGCAGCATATGGATGTGGGCATATATTACTTGCACAAAAAATATTGCTATCACCTTCTAGCTTATCCAAAATCAAGATTTGCAGTAACTGATTTAATTTTTATCAGTATATGACTAAGCTAGCTGGTATTCATCCTTCAGAAGAACAGATGGATAAAATTAGAAAAAGGAAGCAAAAGAGAACAGAGGATCAAAAAAAGAGCAAATCAAAGAGAAAGAGGATATCCAAACAACAGGCTCAAGAAGAAGAAGAAGAAGCGGTTATTCGACCACTTACGGACTTTAGTTGGTTTGAGGAAGAATCAACGAACGAAAAGGTGGACAACTACGTAAAAGGCCTCGACCTTTCCTGTGGTATCTCATGGGCATCTGCCAGAAAAGTATTCTTTCCATTTCGACTTAAGCCAATGACGGGCCAGAGATCTACGCACTACTTTTTTGGAATTTTGGACTTTAAAGATAAAATTATATATATGTATGATTCCATGGGCAGTGTAACATATGAGCGTGCGGTTGAACATGTCAGAAATTATGCCCGGTTGATCCCACACTGTCTCAAATGCTTGGAATTTGGGGCACACAATAAATTTTATGGGGATAGTCCTGTGGAAAAATTTCAAATTAAGTGGATGAGCTCACCGCATCAGACTAACAAGTACGTATTTCACATATGTTTTACCATGCATCTTATGTTTATTATTTTTTGCCCTTGTGTTAACTATTTTTCATGTTCTTTTTGTAGTGTTGATTGTGGTGTATTTGCTCTTAAGTTAATTGATATGCGGTTGAATAAAGAAAATGTCTTCAATTTCGATCAAAGTCAGTCATTGACCTTCAGGAGATAATTGGCTGCCAATCTTTGGGCTCATGGAAAGTGCAAAAAAGATAGCAGCTATGAAACTCCAGAAGAACAACAAGGACATGATTATGGAGATTTTGAAGAGACTGTGTGCGAATTTTTTGATTAGAGGATTGGTTGCACAAAATTTGTATTTTGTGAATATACATTAAGTATTTTTTATTTCACTTTTGTTCATACAAATATGTTTATGTCTTTTATTATGAATTTTAAGTACATTTTTGTTGAAAAAATTTATCCATAAAGTAAATGACTTCTGTTTTTTAAGCTGAAGTTTTGGTTAAAAGTCATAACAAAAGTGTCGACTAAAGGACAAAAACTTCCGCTTATCAAATGTTGATGTTTTTAGAAATACACTAAAAAACCTCAGCACGTTGAGCTGAAGTTCTTTTGAAAAAGCTGTACGAAAAGCTATTGAATCCAACAAAAAAACTTCATTTAGGGGAGCTGAAGTTTTTAGAAATATACTAAATAAGTTCAGCCCAATGGGCTGAAGTTTTTTGAAAACGTTGTACGACAAAAACTATTGAATCCAATACAAAAACTTCAGCTTTATCCAGCGCTGAAGTTTTTAGAAATACATTAAACAACTTCAGCACATTGGGCTGAAGTGTTTTGAAAAAGCTGTACGACAAAAACTATTGAATACAATACAAAAACTTTAGCTTTATCCAGCGCTGAAGTTTTTAGAAATACACTAAACAACTTCAGCACATTGAGCTGAAGTGTTTTGAAAAAGTTGTACGACAAAAACTATTGAATACAATAGAAAAACTTCAGCTTTATCCAGCGCTGAAGTTTTTAGAAACACACTAAACAACTTCGGCACATTGGGCTGAAGTGTTTTGAAAAAGCTGTACGACAAAAACTATTGAATCCAATACAAAAATTTCAGCTTTATCCATGCTGAAGTTTTTAGAAATACACTAAACAACTTCAGCACATTGGGCTGAAGTGTTTTGAAAAAGCTATACGACAAAAACTATTGAATCCAATACAAAAACTTCAGCTTTATCCAGCACTGAAGTTTTTAGAAATACACTAACAACT